TAACCACATAATTTTCAGACCAGTTAAATTTCTTAAAGCTCTCAAAATTAAACAAGTTTGAAACCAGAAGTCCTGCTTATTGAAACATTTAAAAAGAAGACACGTTTTTAGTAGTTAGTTTGTAAAAAGAATAATGAAGTTCAAAAAACAAAGTTAAAACAGCAATCGAGAATTTTCAAAGGTTTATGTAATTTCAAACCAACAATAATCCTTTGTATCTATCACAGTTTAACTCATATCGACTTGAAGTTCCTGTGTGAAACAAAATCTGCAGGGCTGAAAACACAGCTCCTAAATATGTTTTCATTTGTGAACATTTGATATTTAAAAACCAGTCATCCTGCCCATCATGCTGCATCACAATGTAGAGGCGATTACTACAGCTAGGGCAGCTGGCTGAGTGGTTAGAGAAGTCGTCCTCCAATGGGAGAGCTGAGGGTTCAATTCCACCAGCAGTCACATGTTGAAGTGTCCCTGGGCAAGACACTGAACCCCTCATTGCCTTCGATGTGTGTCCCATCGGTGTATGAATGTGATAAAGCTCTGATTATTCTTTGTATAGATCTAGTAGAGTGTTGTATGAATGGGTATGTGGGCACAGATTGTAATGTAAAGAGCTTTGAATGTCTTGATAAGATAGAAAAATGCTATACAAGTAGGCCTACAGTCTACCATTTTACAGTAGTCCACAGGGGACAAACCAAAACCAGATTTTTTTTTTAACAACCACATTTGTTTGCAGATTACTACTGGGGCGACTGGATGTCAGTACATTGCTGATCACCCTGTAGGGATCCTGTTTTTATTTATTTATTTAGCGCTCAAACGACTTCCTTTGAGCTATTTGAACCATTCAAGTAATAAAATGTTCAGCTTGATCACGAATAGTGCAACACAACTTTTAGCATCTTTTGAAACTTTTATACAATTTGAATTATTTAACTTTATTTACAAAACATTTTCCCATGGAAATACTCAAATCTCTTCAATTCCTTACATATTTTTTAAAAACCTTCTTCAAAATACTTGCTATAGCTATTAGTTACTGTTTTAGCTTTGGTTTTGTTCATCTTAGCATTAAGCTAAACTTTTGCCAGCAGCAAATTTGCTTCATTGTGCTTTTAGTTATGGGTTAGCAAATTTTATAATTTAGTTACTGTTTTGCTGATTTTAGTCTTTATAGACTGTTAGCCAAGGTATGCTTTCAGCTACTGTTCAGTTAACAATATATTCTTCAGATATTTAGCTCTCAGCATTCACACTTCCATTATGGCAGAAAATCTTGATTTCAAAACAAAAACAAGTATGTTCTTAAATGCATTTTGCAATGATTTTCCAACCATCTGTGGCAAACGTTCCACATGAATCACCTGGAAAATTAAGTCCTATAGCTTTAAACAAAACCAATATAAGGTTTATGTCTGTTAATAGACATCTTAATGGATAAAAACATTTAATCTTTTTGCATCTACCTTTCTTTTTGTTCTCAAATTACTTAGCTGATCAAACAACGTTAACACAAGGTTATTAACTTATTTAATGGGACAAAAATCAAACAGCAAAACACAAAGGTCATTTACTGCTGAATCTGCATGAAGTTGTTGCACTGAACATGTGTGTTTGCTCCGTCCTGTGCAGACGTTGGGACCATGAAGACGGTGGTGGTTCTGCTGCTTCTCTGTCTGTGCGATCCAGGACGCAGCGACTGCCAGGCAGACTGTCTGTCCTGCAGCAACATCCTGCCCAAACTGCTCAGCTTCAACACTATGGTGAGATATGAACACAAACACAATCAGTGAGATGGGAACTGTAACTCAAAGTTTAAAAGTAACAAACAAAATTCACATAAAATTTAAACAGATCCTGAAATCTTCAGCAAATACAAAAAGCAGATCAATGCTCACCCAAATAAACCCAGTGTTTTCGCAAGAACTTTTTTTTTGTTGGTCACAAAAAAACAGAAAGCCTCTTCATCCATAATTTTGTTCTCCTTCTCAGCAGCTTCCTGCCTGATTCAACAAATTACCCCTTTGACATTTGTGTTTTAATTTGTTGTGTTGACGCGATTCCTGAAGTCAGATGTTTGTTACTTCTCTCCACACATGCTGGTTGTTTCTCTCTGATTAAAGATGTGTGTCTCAGACATTTTTCTAGTCAGCACACTACAGGAAATTTAAATACAAATGGTTTCAAACATTAAATGCTGATGCTGTAAGTATCAGACTTCCAGAGTTAACGAGGCCTAAACTGACCTCAGAGAAGACTAGATGTAACACTGCATACATTTATTGTTGTCTTGCTTATTATTCCATACCATACCAAACCATACCATATCATACCATACCATACCATATCATACAAGCTTTATTTATAGAGCACTTTAAACACCTACAGGACCAAAAGGCTGTACACATAACAAAACAATCAGATAAAACAAGTGATTAAAATGATTAAAAGTATATAATAAAAGTTGTGTAAAAAACAATCATACAATCAGATAAAACAAGTGATTAAAATGATTAAAAGTCAACATTTTAGATGGTGTCAAAGGCCACGGAGAAGAGATGGGTTTTAAGAAGGGATTTAAAAACAGACAGGGAAGAGGCCTGTCTGATGTTCAAGGGAAGGTCGTTCCACAGTTTAGGAGCTGCCACAGCAAAAGCACGGTCTCCTCTGAGCGTACGCTTTGTCCTCAGCACATTCAGGAGCAGCTGATCACATGACCTGAGGGATCGAGAGGGTGTTTATGGATGCAGCAACTCGGACAGATAGGGTGGGGCAAGTCCATTAAGAGCTTTAAAAGCAAATAAAAGAATTTTAAAATGAATCCTGGAATGTACGGTCAGCCAGTGCAGGGAAGATAAAACAGGAGAAATGTGTTCAAATTTTCATGTGCCAGTTAAAAGACGTGCAGCAGCGTTCTGTACCCTCTGAAGCTGAGAGATACATGAATCACTGATTCCTGTATAGTTACAGTAGTCCAGCTGAGCGGTCACAAAGGCGTGATCATTTCAAAATGCAGCTGAGAAAGAATCGACTTCACCTTAGCCAGCTGCCTCAGATGAAAAAAAAACTAGATTTAACAACTGCTCTACTGTGATTTTCTAACTTTAGACCAGCATCGACTTTGACCCCCAGGTTTGTAATAATTGGCCTGATGTACTGGGCCAATGAACCAACATTAACATTGGGAGTCTCAGTGGAGCTTCCAAAGACAATCACCTCAGTCTTTTCCTCATTAAACTTTAAGAAGTTCACAGCCATCCAGGCTTTGATGTCCTCCAGACATGAAAACAGAGGGGCCAGAGAGTTAGAGTCCTTTTTCTTTAGCGAGACATATATCTGTGTATCATCTGCGTAACAATGAAAGGAGATCCCATATTTTCTAACAATAGAGCCAAGAGGGAGCAGGTACAGCATGAAGATAGGGGGCCTAAGACTGAGCCCTGTGGAACCCTACACAAGAGAGGAGCAGAGGAGGACATGTGGTCACCAAGGAGGACACAGAAAGTACACTCCGCTAAGTAGGACTTAAACCAGTCCAGTGCTGCATGGCTGACCCCCCCCCC